ACCCAAAAATCAGAGGTAAGGTGAGGAGGTACAAGAAGGGCCTTCAACTGCACATTGAGCGGCGGCCAGATCAGTCTGGTTTAGAGGTGGAACAATGCAAGAGTACTACGAACAGTTCAAGGCCATAGATGGCTATGTGGCCTTCGCCACCTTTTGGCGTGTATGGAGAGTGGAGTTTGATCATTTGAAATTTCGAGGGGTGACGTCGCACGCCCAGTGCTCCACGTGCCTACACCATCGCGCCTTGCTGAAAGAACTCGCGCCTTACTTCTATGCGAGGCAAAAACAAGCCGAACACTTCCACCGTCATCTAATGCATCAATACCGGGACCGTCAGGTCTATTGGGCCCTTCGGGGCTCCAGCCGACTTCGGTCACTGGGCCAAATTTGCATAATCCAAGACGGAATGGACCAGATGAAGTTTGCGCTGCCAAGAAGCCGGCTGTTTCTAGCGAAGGATTTGAACACCCTAATCAGGCCAAAGCTTGGTATCATCGGGGTCATCATCCATGGCCACAGCTTCATCGTGGCAGTCTCCCAGCCAAATCATGCGAAGGACTCATCGTGCATGGCAGAACTGTTTTGCCACTCATTGACCCGTCTTCAACGGTCAGGCGTGAGGCTGGCTGATACCATAATTCACCTGATTGCGGACAATACCCCCCGGGAGACCAAAAATTCGACGACGCTACGGCTGTTGACGGCGCTGGTGCAGAGAGGTTTCTTGTCCGGATTGTTTTGTATGTATGGTTCGCCGTAAGTTTTTACGGGTGCTGGGAGAGAGCAGAAGCAAATTTGATCGCGCGCCGCGTTCCAAGGAGTGATAGCAGGTGCCTCGATGAGGCACTTGCGAAGTGGACATTCCCATGAAGACATCGACCAGACGTTCGGGTCGATGTCGCTATTCATTGTTCGCCATGGAAAATCAATCCAAACTCCCGAACAGTTCTGCGATGTGATTGGGCGCTTTGTCACATCAGCCCAGAGACCTTTTGAAGCGGAACGGGCCGTGGTGAGGTTAGATCAGCACCGCCCCTGGAGTCTTAACAAGGATTGATGGTTTGTTTAAAACGCCATTCTGACAAAATGCTGGCAACTTTGATTCAACAGGTTTCCGATCTCCTTTGCCTTTTGCTGTGGCTGTGTTTTTCCTTTGCCTTTCTCACAATGTTCCTGGCAGCCATGTTGCAAGAATGTGAACATTAGCGAGTGTTTTGGAGCCGACGATCTTACATGAAGAACATTTAAACATAATATATTTATATATATATATATACAAGGCCAAGGTGCAACCCAGCCCCATATGAGAAGTGTCGGGTGGACTTCACTGTAAGGGAATGTGGAAACTGATACACAGTGAAACAAACCGCAAGGAGTATAAAAGGCAGATTCCTCGCATTGCCTTGTGCCTTGCGATGACAGTTGTTGCGAAAACCTCGAACAATCGGAGGCCAGCTTCTTGGGATGGGGGGGGTGATCCCTGCGGCAAGGAAAGAGTTCTTGGCTGGCGCAGTCCCAGTGACCCTCCAAGGGATTGGCGGCCCAGGGGCGCCGCACCATTTCGAGTTCTCGAGGAGAGAGGACCTGGGTTCCCTAGCTTTGCTAAAAAATTTTTGGAAGCCCCCTCATGCATTCTGTAATTTTTTGGCTGAAGGTCTCGATCGTGTGTTCTTTTGACAAGGCGAGTTCTCAGAGTTTTGGCAATATTTATGCAACTGCAACATCTTTTGCGAGTAAGGAGCTGACGCCTTGGATATTTCCGACCAGTACTGGAAGCTTCAAGCGAGCGACCAACGGCCCAATGACATTATCATTCGGTACACCAGCTGAATTTATTAAATAGAATGGACGTTTTGTCGCTTGCGTAGGAGTTGGGACTACTATGGCCTCGCGGAATCTTTTAGTTGGGACTTCGACAACTGATACCTTGTGATAGTTCTTTCATGTATGTGCTTTCCTTCCTGATGACTGGAGGTGCAAGCAGTACATGCAGGATCGGGACTACAACCACAAAGTATTATTCTACCCAGCCTACATCGGAGATGAACGGATACCTTCCGGCTTACCTGAAGGCGCTACAAAGTGCAATTTTTCCTGAGTTTATTTTGACAAAGGGTCTATAGCCCGGGTGTGCCGTGTGCATAAAAACGATATGGGAGAGTGGTTTCACAGGCTTCTCAGTTTTCCATCCACACCTCAAGAGTGCCACATTTCCTGTTTCTTTGGCATTCCAAACGGACCGGGGCCTCGGGGGTGGAAATCCGGGCCTTGGGCTGCTGGGTTGAGCTTGACAAAGCCATTGCCTTTGAGGTGTGGCCAGCAATCCTGACCTCGCAGAGGATTACCAGGCCCACCTGCGCAAATTTGTTCCGGTGCTTCGCTCGTACAACTTGACCGACACAGCAGAGTTCTTCCGCGCTTGGACTGACGGAGAGCTGGAGCCAGCCCCGCTTTTAGACATTTCCGCGCCATTTGGCCTGTACTAGCCTGATTTTTTTAACCTTCTCCAGTGACATTTTGTTGAGGCAACGTGTTCCGTGCATGCTAATCCATGGCAACTGTCCGTCTAATCCATGGAAATTTTCCATCGTGTGAGAAACAACATTCTGTGTACTTCAACAAGTGGAAAATTCACACACACACACACACCCAGGTGCTCGCTCGGGTTTCCTGCTTCTAGCCGACGCGGGCACCCTGGCTTTGATGCCGTCAGAAGTTTTGAGTCTGAGCCCAATGTCATCAAGTTGCTTGGAAATTTATTACATTGAGCGGCCTCCTGAAATGAAAGGAACAAATATCATTGTGTGGCAACCTGCTGCTGGGCCCTACACTTTTCAGGGGCCAAGCGCTTTGTATGTTTCTTGTGAAAAGGTTAGCAATGACAAACAAACAGGGAAGCCAAGTGTAACGCCTGAAATGCCTTCAAGGCTGGCGCGCGGTGCGGACGACAAGAAAAACACGGACCTTTACATCGCAAGGAGCAGGAAGAAGGTTATCGCGGAAGCAGCTGCCGAGGCATGGGCCGCTGGAGTAGAGTGGGATGATGCTTTGAATCTGGCGACCCGAGCCGTGGACAAGGTAAAGCTCATGATGCAGCCAGTTGGCAAAGCCAAAGCAAAGGCCAAGGCCCGGATGTAGTAATATATAGACATTCTCTGGGCCAATTTTTGAACCCATGTAGAGCAGCTGTAGAGATTGGAGCCTATACCCGACACTAGCTTCCAGCGTAAAAATGTGAAATTCGGCACTTGAGCCGCCCTTTTTCACGTTCCTGTTTTGTGTTGCGTCCCACCTGGGATCCAACACCCTGGCAAGTCAGTTTCTTTGGCCACCATGTCCAATACCGCGGTCTTGCCCTGGTGCGAAGGGTTGGGTACTGGTCTGAGTGATGGATCCCACCTGGTTTTCAACACTGGCGGCATTCCCCTGGAGTTGCTCTGTTAGTGACAATTTTGTGCTTCGGGTTTTAACATTTTCAACCCTAAACCCTCAATGCGCAACCCTAAACCCTAAACGTTGTGGGAAAAAAACGGGCAGCATTTTGTTCCTGGCAAACATGCCATCATAGTGAAGCCAAGGATGCAAAACGCTAGTGTTGAATCCCACCTCGGATCCAACACAAAACCATTGCGAGGGTGCATGACCAGGAGAGTTTAACCTGGACACTCCCAATGATACATATAATTTTTGTGTCGGATCCTACCTGAAATCCGACACAAAAAGTTGGTGTGTTGGTGCCGAGATTGATGCCAACCGGCTTTGTGTCGGATCCCACCTAAGATCCGACACTTAAAGGTGTGATCACTGCAAACCAGGATTGTGTCGGATCCTAACTGAAATCCGACACAAAATTGGAGCGCGAACTCAGTTTGTGTCGGATCCCACCTGAAATCCGACACAAAGGTGTGGTTGGAACATTATGGAACACTGGTGCAACCCCGGTTTGTGTCGGATCCAACCTGAATCCGACACAAAATGTCTCACTTGCGTGTTGAATTTGTTGTATAATATTTCAATCTACTGAGTAGTTTTGGGCCAGGTTCCGTGGACGCAACCACAAAGGATTTCAGTTCAACTGGTCTTGCTATTGCTATCCACTTGGCGTTTCGACCAAAATGGAACGGTGAGTGACCTTTGGTTCTCCTACGCCACGGGTGGATAAATTGGTCGGTGTCAAGTTCCTGGGTGATGAAAACGGTTGCGGTATTTTTTGCTTAGCTGTTTGTTGGCGTGGTATTCAAACAACTTTCAAACCTTCTAAGGACAGAATGATTCTTGACAGGCATCTCACAATATACTGTGCTGTTCACTGACGCGCAAATAGTTTAATTCTGTCCGTAGGTCATGATTTGAACAATCCGCCTCTGACTCTCTATGCTTCTCCGTGCCCACTTGTACCATTTATGGCTTCCAGGACGGGATTTGTAGGTTGATTTCCGGGAGAAAATCTTGGAAATTGAGATGGGCGCGAAGCGGAAATCTAGCGGCGGTGAGAATTCGAAAGGGGCAAAATCTGCCAAAGCTGCCGCTAGCCCTGTGACATGTCCTGTCACGAATACCATAGTGGAATGGAATCTCAGCTTCTCAAGTTTAGTGTGGTAACTGGGTGTGCTCATTTTTTGTAAATGGGTGCTATTGTTTTTGATTGTTCGTGTCATTTTCGGACTGAGGATTCAACAAAAGGTGATTCCAATTGGTGGGATTCACGCGTACATTGAGAACACGTACCCAGGGGAGGCTCCATGCGTATAACGGTCCTGGACTTTTTGCGTGTTTTTGCTTTTGACACGCAGGCAGAGTTGATGACTTTCGCACAGTTCATCGACGACATGTTTCCTGCTGAGCCAGGGAAATGGCCTTAGCTTCAGAAGTTCTAAGCGTGTAGCCCTTGTGTCCAACTGTCCTCACCAAGGAAAGAATACGCGACGGATTTCAGTCCAGGGCCATGCTTCTTGCGCCCGTACCAGTTGTCCTTCAGAAAGGATTCCGGTTTTTCTGGAATGTGCGAGCCGGAAGAGACCATTCTTTTGGCACAGCTCATTCTACAAGAAGGGTGCTTTGCTTTTGAATTTGTTTGTCGTTCGGAGGAATGTAGGTTTCTTTTTGCGCGGGGCATGCTGTCAGTTCGATCACCCCTTGGTGGCAGCAGACCAACGTTTCTCCAAGGTTTCGAACCAATCCCGACCTTGGTGGGACCGAGAAGGTTAGCGTGTGCGATCCAGCTGCCCACTGCATGTTGGAGTCTGACCCGGTCACACTTGAAGTTCTCCATACTGGCAGCCTGTGACCCAGTTGTTTGCGTCTTGAACGTTGGGAGTCCAAGTGGGCGCCGTTTCTTCCAGCTGCGGCGCATAACTCACAGGTACGGAGCTGCCGCCGTTTAGTGTGGGCTACGTGAAAGGCTGGCGTCGGTGCACGACGCTGCTGACCATCTTGGCAGCGATCAAAGAGCTTTCAATCAAGCCGGATGATATCCCCAAGAATTTTCAGGCGTAAGGGTAGTAGATGGTTTGTTTCGCTTGGGTTATTTCAGTTCACAGGTTGTGAGACATGCCATTGTGGGCTGGTTTGAAAACTCAACACACTCAACTTTACCGTTTGCTTCTTCAATATCAACAGTCAGTGAAATAAGAGGGTACTGGTCATTTGACGCACAACAGTTAAGATTTATTGCAGGCCAGCTGTCGGACCATCTATGGCACCGTTGGCAAATATGCTTCGATCCGAGAACAGGTGATGGCGAACCGCGGCATAAGCATGAGTAGCGCGGCTACACGTCGCGCTCCAAATTGTTTCCATTTCCTACGACAAGTTGAATGCTTGACAAGAGCTGGGCTCGGAAACGCCAAGCAGCAGTTTGAGGAAGCTAGGATGTCTTGAACTACGTTGCTGTCAAATTTCCACTTGGACTTGGGCTGTGAGAAAGGGCACCCTCAAGGCTTACACCAATTGCCAAAAACACATCCTTTGGAGAGGTCAAGCCGGACTTGATGGTGCCTTTTCTCGTAGCCCAACCCAGGTGGAACTTTGGGAACTTTGGGGAACAAAGTTTCTTTCGTCGATCGGCCTTCGTCGTGTCAGACCCAAACAAAGCCAGGGAAGCCACACCAAAAGGAACAATAAGCGTGTAGTGTTTCCAGCCTTAGCAATGAACAAAGGACTATTTCAAGTGAGGGTGCTGCCGAGCAATCTGATGCTGAAGTGATACCCATTTGCTAACAGTGTTTTGAGAACATATCCACATAGTGGGCGAGCTGGTTTGGGCTGACTTTGTGGGATTGCGAGACCCTTTTTTCACGTGACACGATACTAAGGGACCAAAACAGTTTGATTGCAATGCTTTTTGCTTCGGGTTACGGTTGCGAAATGCGAATCCCCCATTGTTTTGGATCTAGAGGCCTGGAGACATTAAGTGCCAGGCTGAGGAAAAGTAAAGGCATGTCGAACGTTCCAAGGATTGGTCGAACGCAACAGCGGTGAGCAAAGCGTTTTCGATCGGCAAGTTGGAAGCCGCAGCCGTCAGCAACTTGCAATCGCATGTAGAACCCAGCCTGGTGAAGCGGTTGAAGGAAGTGGTGGCAACTCGTGGCCTGAGGAGCTTCCTTGGGCACGACGTTTTTGGTCGTGGCGTGTTCAACACTGGCTGGAGCAGCGGGAGCGGGAGTTGTGAAGCTTGGGTCAGTGTGATGACCAATCTTGATGATGGTGCTCTGGCGGCGTGGCTGATAAAGGGAGTGTGAAAAGGTGTGAACAGGTTTAATTGATCAATGATGGTTCGCAGCAACTGGGGAAACAATGGGGTCGGTATATTCATTACATAGGGGTGGGTTTGCTGTTGGAAAGCCTTGCCTACCCATTTTGGGAGTTTGCCCAACCCGCCCCATCCCATCAGTAAGCATACTTCCCCTCACTCAGCGCCTTGAAACCGGTCCGTCATCCATGAAGCCAATGAAGTTGAACGCTAGCTAGTTGGTATTCCTACGCCTACCGTTTGGAACACTCCTTGTCTACGTGAAATAGTTTTTGTTTTTCTTAAACAGAGTGGTGCTTTTGAGTTTTTTGCTCACAGAAGAATGATGGTGTCTTGCTGGATGAGCGTGTTTACTTTTAGAGCTGCCCACATTCAATAAAGCCCCTGGCTTCAATCTCTCAACCTCAGGCAAACCTGCTGATTGATCGGATATGTGCAGATTATGATGCGCAGCCTGTGGGCATGCGGAAGGCTTTGACGGCGAAAGAAGTGACTACCACCCACCAGCATTGCGCAATTTTCTTGAGCTTCCTCAACACCCTGCAGAAGACTATTCCAAGTAGTGACGCTGCGGCGGCCAAAGAAAAGCTTACCACTCACTTTTTCTTGGGGGCTTTAGACGCAGAGCTGGGGCTTATCGCCGAGAGCACCATCCCGCCGGGTGATTTGAAGAGTGTTGGGGCCTTCAGGCCAGGGCTTTGCACGTTCCTGTAGCAGAAACCAATTTCCCTTCGCCTCACTGTTTTCTTTGTTGTGTTAAGGCCAAGGGGTTAAAACTTTGACTTTGTGAAACCTGTGAGGAGCATTTTGTCCAACCACGAGAAGAAAGTGAGTGACGAAACGGAAGAACGGGTCCATGAGCTTAAGCAGAAAGTTTTCCAGGCTACGTTTGAGCAGCTCAAGGCTCAAGTTGAAGAAGATTTGCGCAAGATCCGTGCTGCCTTACCCACAAAGGCGACCCAGGCCTTAGAGACCTCCAAAGACATGAAATACATTCGGGACCGCCAGCAGTGCCTCAGTCCAGGATTTCAGACAAGGCTTTTTGGTTTGCAGGTTTTGGGCAATTTTGACTTCGCGTGAGGCATGTCATGGCTTTAGTGTCCTGTGACCAGTCCTTCAGGAAAGGCAACGAGTATGTCAAGAATTGGATGTCCTCACAGTGCAAAATTGCTTGGATCAGTGTGAAGGATGATGCCTACGCTTCGACTACGATGGCAAATTCGCTCAGTGAGTTCACGAGGTTCTTGGCGGAACGTGTTCCTGTCAAGAAAGGGACTGTGCACCGAGGCGGCTGTTTGAATCAATTTTTTTGTTGTGCTTCGGTTTGGGCACGTGACACTCCCGTTTTAGACTCATTTTAGACTTTTCGATGTCCTTCTTTTTACTACAATAATTTCCTTCCTGTGAGGTATGTGTTGTGCTCTGTGGATGCCACGGTGTGGCCCAGCAGTACGCAGTATTTGCTGGATTGCTTGGCGTTGGTCCAGAATGTGTGTTCCCTCGGGACTGCGAATGTCTCCCACATTCAAATGCCGATGTTCCACCAGGCGACTACGATGAACGCCCTGATCAAGCATCGCAGGAAAGTGGAAGACTCTTTGTTGAAGAGTGATCTGGACTTTACGCAGAGCTTGACACTCATGTTCAGCAAAGATGAGAGCCGGCAGGGCATGGACAAACGTCCGCTCACGCAGTCGTGTGTGATTGCGTTCAGTGGGAAGGCTTGCAGGTGGTTGGAATCTGAAGCGATCCAGTCTGCCGTGATTGCCTCATTGCCCCTCCTCAAGGTCAGTGAGATGGTGGGGTACGATCCAGACAGTGGAACACGGCCAAGTGTGGCAGCAAGATTGGAGCAGCTCCTCAGACTGTTGCAAGTATGGTGTTCGTTTTGAAACCTTACTTGATGTTGATTTTGACGCTGCCTTTAGGTGTAGCCCCCATTCATATGTTGTCTCATGAAAGTTGTAGATATTTAAAGGGTAAAAAGGAGTGCGTTCGAGGTCTGACCATTTTTCACATTCCTTTATTGACTGCCAGAAGTCATGACTGCCGCACGAGGAAAGGCATACCGTGTCAACGGGCGATCGTTGAAGGGTTCCTGAAGAGCATGACGTTCCAGGAGGATGATACCGTGGTTTGGCTGGATGCATTGCCAAATCAGTTGCCCGGATTCCACACAGAGATTATTGCCTTTAATATCTTTAATTTACTTGGTCATTTTCTGTAAAAGGATGTAAAAGGGTACATATTTCTGGGTCTGGGTACTTGACTTGTGTGTAGGTTCGCGGAGTTTGGGACGGCTTGCGTGCAGCGCTCTTTGGAGGAGAAGACGCCGCCCGTGCTGTACTACGGAATTTTTCGTGATGACAGTGGACACAAGAAGACGTTTGCAGACTTGCAAACAAGCGTTTTTCAGCATTGGGATGGGCTCCCATCATCACCGCCAAAGACCAGACCCCGCGCCAAGGCCAGTCTCCACGTGGACAACCTTTCCTTGCTGAGCTGCACAGCCACGGGGCCAGTTTGGCCAGAAGGTTTGACGGACAAGTTCCCAGCAGACTCTGCCCACCGCAAAGAGCTTGAAGCCTTGCGCAACAAGTTCCTGGAGGAGTTCCCTCCACCGAAGGACACGGCCGGTGCAGGGGCGACTACCCCCAGGGTTCCTGTTCGTCGGGTCAGTGGAGAGCCAGACTTTACCATTGAGGATAGTCGCCGTCCCATCGACATCAACCGCAACCTAGATCCTACGCTGGAGGCCCCTCCAGCTCCTGCTGACAGGCTCGGTGCAAACTTCTGAAACGAGTTCTTTTTTTGACAGTTCCCCAGTTTTGAAATAGCCAGGAGCAAACAGACCCTAAAGATGACCTTTTCCCCAAACCCGTGTTTTGGCATACAAGACGACGGAGACCCAGTTTTTCGGTGAACAACTCGGGTTCTCATGTCAGAACCCATATATATCACGCACAAAACCCATAGTGTACCCATAAAACAACTGTTTTTTTTGTGAATGGTTTTCGAGAGCCGGTTTTAGTTGTAAAAGCTGTTTGTTCCAAGCCCCTACATGTTTCTAGGTGTTGGATGGCCTCGGAGTAGATTATATAATTCATTTCTGATGATTAAAGTTTGGCCGTGCGTGACGCGTGGCCACAGGACCGCAACGGTGGCAGGAAAATCGGGCAAACCAAGCATTATCATCGACAAAGACATGAAGATTTGGATCGGCAACGAATCGGACAGCGCCATGAGTTTGAAGCCGACCGAGCTTTTCGGGTTCAATACTGGGGCCTTTGAGTTCAAGATTGTCCGCGGCTCGAACAAGCGCGATTCAAGCGGGATTGCTTGGCGGATCACATCCGACCTGGACTTGATCTCATGGGATAAGAAAGTGATGCCTGTGTGCGAATTCCTTCATATTTGTGCTGTTTCGCATGGTCTCGCGGACGTTGGAATTCCCGAGCACACCACCAGTCCAAAGCTTCACGCAGCAGCGGCTTCTCCTTAACAAAGAACGTTTTCGGTTGCATGTTTGCTGCTTGCTTGCTCCTTGCTTGCTTCCAGAAAGTGCTGATATAAAAATATATCCTTGAGAATTTCTCTGCGCCCAGGAGTAGCCACAGGGGCAGCACCACAGCAAGCAACAACCCCAAACAAACGCAGCGACACACATTAAAATTCAACAGTGGCTCGTAGTTTGGAGCGCGAAATGGGCAAAGAATGGCAAAGAAACACGAGTTGGAATCAACTGTGGCCGAGCTTCGTGATTGCGTGTTTGGCTCATGGAGCCCAAGCACGGCCATTAGGTCGCTATATTACCCCTAACAGAACAACCTTTGCTCTAAAGGCATGGTTTCAACCAAGCAATGAACCAACCTGCAAATATTATGAGCGGGTGCTTGTGTTGCGCCGGCCTCCTGCAAGGTTGGTGAGAGCGAAGCAGTGCCTGTATCGTTTCGCTACAACATCGACCCGATCGAGAGCAAAAGGACGAACGTGTTCAAGCCCAATGCTTTGGCCGCGACCAGTGATTCCTTCAAGGCAAACTCGGTTGGCGCAGTCTACATCGGAAAGTGGGCGGATCTTCCAGACAGCGCGAATTTGGACGTACTGTGGGAGGCTGTTTGCGCTGGAGGGTTTGGAGGTTGCGTCGTGGCTTTGATTGCCGTCTTTTCGCACCGTGGTTTCGACCCAACATCGAAAGGTCGAAACTTCGAAACGAAGTGTGACTGTGGAGTGCACGGATGATTGACATTTGATTTACAGCCCTCTTCTGTCGCAACTTGCCATTTTGCGGGCTCACTTGAAAGTAGACCCGTGTCATTGTGAAGTTGTCTACTTTTTGGTATGGTCATGGTAGCTGGTAGCTAGTTGCTTACTGGTAAGTTTGAGGCATTTGCTACGAAGCGAACTGCATGCCACAAAGCGACAAGAGGATTGAACTGAAACTATCTCCAGTGACAAACACAATGTATAGACCAGGGCAGCAAAACGTACCCAACGTGCAAACGTCGCTATCTTCAATGGGTGATTGTGCACAGATTCTTGCAATGGAAAGCTGGTGTGTATGGATGTGAGCTGTAAGTGCGGAGTCAAAATCTTGATCCAGCCTAAAATGGAGCTGAATGTACCATTTATCAGGGATGAGTGTCACCACTGTGTGCAATTTGTTGATCATAGTATACGCCTAGTAGATTACTATTATTATATACTTTGTCATGGTACTGTGTGTGTGGGTGCGCGCTCGTACAACATAGTGTTTGGCGGGAGAAGTGCGCACTGGGATTATGACAGGTGGAACTTCGTGGCGGTAAGTTGACGCCGATCAAGCCCAAGATGTGGCTCACTTGCTGCCTCACATTGCCGGCTGACTCATGGGTTCGCGCGCCGACAGTCTAGCGCCAGGGCCTTTTGCGGCGGCGGAAGAGCTCCGGAACAAATTTTGTAGGAGTGTAGGGTTGGGCCTGGCAAACCTTGAACATGGTTTCGTTTGTAGTTCAGCCTTGTGCTTTCTAGTGGAACATGCTCTTCTCTGCAATTTTTAAGAACAAACAACAAGGACAAGTCAGGCCCAAGACGGGCAGCATAATTTTGAGCAGATGAGCTGGCAGTTCGGTGTAACATCGCAAAAACAATCGAGTGTTTTATTGCCGCAAGTCATTTGCCGTCAGTCTCCAACGAACTTAAGGGCAATACGGTACCAGTCGCAGAGACTTTTGAACGAATGCGCCGGCTTTTTTGTATTTGTGGTGGTCAGGGGTTCAGGCAGGATTATGGCAGTTATTTGCTATTTCGCTTTCTCGTGAGCTCGAGCTGGGCTCCGAACTCAGAAATTGCTCGCAGCACATTGAGAGACGTCAAGTGAGACTGACTTTACATAGTAGGTTTAGCCGATCAAACCATGCCCGCAATGCAGCCAGTTATGGAGCTCACAGAGAGTGATTGCGATGAGGGTCCCAAGGCTAAGGCGAAGGCAAAAGTGAAGGCAAAAGCGAAGGCGGTAGTGAAAAGTTTGCCTAAGCCCAAGGCTAAGGCAAAAGGTAAAGGAAAAGCGAAAGCAAAAGCTGCAGGGAAACCAAAGGCAGCGAGGGCGACTGCTCCCCCTGCTCAAGAAGAGGAGCAAATTGAGAACGAGCAGGAGGCCAGGTTCTGAATGATCAGGATCCCCCCATGTTTTGATACTGCCGCCCTTCGTCCCGGCAAGCAGATCGGTTTCTGGCAGGACAACGCGCCCAATGAAGGTGCAGCAGCAGCAGCATCAACCAGACCTGCAGCAGTCAAGCGCCCTGCATCTACTGTGAAAGGTGTCAATGTGTCCAGCCCTCATTACCACAAGAACAACAATTCTTGGGGCCTAAAGATTGGACCGAAGCAGATTATCTCAGCTCCTTGACTACATATTGCATAAAAGAAGCAGGTCCTGATGGCCTGGCAATTGTTCATGCCACATAACTTTTTGGTTTAAAGGTTGGTTCTCAGCGCTACCCTTCCGAGAAGACCAAAGAGATCGCAGTGCCTAACTGAGCGTCAGCGTCTTGTTGAGTGATACCACTGGTTTTTGAATAGTTTCAGATGTTGATGTTCAAAACAGACGTCGAGGAGATTTGTCGGCGCCATTTGATGAACGGAGAAACAAAGGAGCAGGTCGAGATCATCAAGGCGCATGGTATTTTGCAGCCATCACACCTATTGGTCAGGGTATGGATTGTGATGGTTTTTTGAAAGGCAGCGCTGTTGGAGAAAGTTCCGATCCAGAAAGCCCAAACTGCAGGCCCTGCGTGCGCTAGTTTCAAGTTTCAAGTGTGATTGTTTCCACTGTTCAGTGTTTGTCTCACTAGCGCCGATGGGTTCATCCATTTCTGCGCTGCGAATAGGCTTCGTGATTTATCATATTATCAAAAATAAAATAATCAGCATCTTTCATGCAGGTAGTAGTGGCAGCGTCTCTACACGAACCACTCCCCAACCTCAACCCCCAACAAAACCAGCGCGTCTCGGGAAAAACCAGGCGCGGCTGGTGCTGAAGCTGAAGCTGAGATGGCCGGGGATCTGTCTGTTATGAAGAAACCGTCGGTGAAACTGTCGGATTCTGCTGCGAAGTCGTCGAAAGCAGACGCGCACCATGGGGACAAGACAGCCTTCGAAGAAGGGGAGGAGGAAGCTGAGAAAGAAGAGGACCCAATCCATGAAATGGATGGGGATGAAGACAAAGACAAAAAGAATGTGGACTAGGTTTCACGGCTGTCGCCCCAGACTTGACAACTCTCCTGTCTTGGCGCGGAAAACACTGAGCCAGAGCCAACCTTGCTGTGCAAGGAAGAACGCTTTGAATTTGCAAGTTTGGTACTTTGAAACATTTCGAAACGACACTTTTTTGTAGAACACAAATTTGGGAAAACAAGTTCAGTCCAGCAAGCCTATGCCCCAAGGTGTCCTCAAGAGTGTTGTTTGGATGAAAGTACTGTACACATGAGCGTGTATGTCCCGCACACACACACACACGCCGTACTGTATGTAAATCCCACTCGTTATTTGTTGGCCATCCCATCCAAAACCGATTTAGAAACACTGTTCTAAATTTAAACATGGTTGATTACATGGTTAAAATTGGCTCAAGTTCGGACCCTGAGGCCCTGGCACACCCAGGGCCCAAATTTACGATCAATTTTGCTCTCTGATTCTGCCTGTGATTTTGGCGCAACAAGAGAACATAACAAGCAACATGTTCAACCTCGAGCTTGGCGAGCCCATATGGCCCAAACCTCGCATTTGGCAAGCCCATATAGCCCAAACCAACGCAGTGTGCTACGGTCTGCTAGGAGGGTTCAACTGCCATGGGTAACGGGAGTGTGCTACCGCCTCAAAGCAAAGTGCATTTATATGGCCACTCTTGGACCAGTCATGTGGCGCATAAGTCAATAGGACATTGACAGTGACAGGCGCAAGTCCTGGGCCACGAACACATTGGCAAAGCCCAATGCCCATAACACATTGACAGGCAAGTCCAAGCATCAGGGAGGAACCCCGGATCATTTTGGAACCCCGGATCAAAGGAAAATTCTTTAAGAACAGGTGGCATCAACCCAACGACTCTTGGAAGACGAGATTCTCCAAACACGGATCGTACCAAACGATGTGGTATACAAAGACCGGAACCTTTGGCTGGAAGCCATTATGAAAGAGATCCAGTCCTTGGAGGGCAAGAAAGCGATCCGGCGATTGACTCCCGCAGAAGTGGCCTATTACCAGAGAGAGCATGGAGACAAGGTGGAGGTGGTTCCAGGGAAGGCCATCCATGCGGTGAAGGCCCCTGACGGACGAAGGAAATGCCGCCTGGTGGTGTGCGGGAACTACCTGAAGGGAGCTGGAAGAGGTCCTGGAGACCGTTCGGAAGCAGCTCAGCTCTATGCAGGTGGGGCGGACACTACATGCTTGAGGACCTCATTGGCACTGGCCGCTTCGCGAGGCTGGCAGGCGGCTAGCCTGGACATCAAGACTGCCTTCTTGAACGCACCTCTACGAACACTTCAGGAGAGCAGCCGTAAAAGGAACCTCGCCTTGGAAGACGCTCATGGACGACTTCAAGAGGATCAAGAAGAAGATGGAGGAGGTCACGAAGGTCGAGAAGGGGCAATCACGGAAGAGCGGCAGGAGGAGGACCTCACCAAGAGGAAGCGCCTGGTGCTCATGCTCCCCCCAAAGATCCTCGTTCGACTGGGATTGGTAAAGGAGGGGGAAATGTGGCTGGTGGAAAAGGCTCTGTATGGCCTACGTGAGTCTCCAAAGCTTTGGGGGGACTACAGGGACATCGAGATCAGCCAGATGTCCTTTCAGGCGAACTCCGTCACCTATGAGTACCAACAGAGCTTCGCGGAGGAGAACTTGTGGTTGGTGCGCCGGAAAGATGCCGGAGATGGAGACCAGGTTGAGGGACTCGCCTTGGTGTACGTGGATGATGTGATGCTCTTCGGCACCGAAGAGATTGTGAGGGCAGGGCTCCAGAGCTTT